TGGAAGTCCTAGCCAGAGCAATCAGATAAGAGAAGGAAATCAAGGGTGTCCAAATAGTGGCAGAAGAGATCAAAATATTACTTTTTATTGATAATATGATCTTATATCTAGAAAGCCCCAAAGATTCTGCCAAGAGACTCCTGGAATTAATAAATAAGTTCATCAAAATCTGAGGTTACAAAATCAATGCATACGAATCAGTACCATTCATGTACACCAACAACAGTCAAACTGAAAAAGAAATCAAAGACTCAATATCTTTCATAATAGCAACAAAGAAAATAGAATACTTAGAAATATATTTAAGGAGGTGAAAGATCTCTACAGGGAGAACTATGAAACACTGAAGAAGGAAATAGCAGAGGACATAAACAGATGGAAAACCATATAATTCTCATTGATTGAAGTATCAATATTGTTAAAATGTCTACCCAAAGAGATCTACAGATTCAATACAATTCATATTAAAATACCAAAATCATTTTTCACAGACCTAGAAAAAAGTTCTATACTTTTTATGGAACCAGAGAAGATCCTGTATAGTTAAAGAAACCTCAAGCAAAAAGAACAAATTGGAAGGCATCAATTTACCAGACTTCAAGATATACTACAAGGCTATAGTAACTAAAACAGCATGTGTTTGGCATAAGAACAGAGACATAGGTCAATGGAACAGGACTGAGAACCCAGATATAAAACCATCCTCATATAGCCATTTTATCTTTTGACAAAGCAGATAAAAACATACACTGGGGGAAAGAATTCCCTATTCAATAAATGGTGCTTGGAAAGTTGGATAGCCACATGTAGAAGACTGAAACAGGAGCCACACACCTCACCTCCCACAAAAATCAACTCACAGTGGATAACAAGACTTAAACCATAAGAGTTCTAGAAGAAAATTCTGGAAAAAATTATAGACATTGGCCTAGGCAACAAATTTAGGAAGAAGACCCCAAAAGCAATCACAACATCAATAAAAATAAATAAATGGGACCTGATCAAATTAAAAACCTTCTGCACAGCCAAAGAAATTATCACTAGAGCAAACGGACAACTTACAGAATGGGAGAAAATATTTGCATGTTATACATCTGATAAAGGGCTGATAACTAGAATCTATATAGGACTCAGGAAAATAAGTAAGAAAAGAAATCACACAACCTCATTAAAAAGTAGTCAAAGGATATGAACAGAAACTTTTCAAAAGAAGATAGACAAATGGCCAAGAAACATGAAAAATGCTCAAGTAATCAAGTAAAAATGCTCTAATAATCAGGGAAATGCAAATCAAAACCACAATGAGATATTACTTAACTCAAATGAGAATGGCTTTTATCAGAAAGTCCCAAAACAACAGTTAGCATGGATGTGGAGAGATAAGAACCCTCATACACTGCTGGTGGGACTGCAAACTAGTGCTACCTCTGTGGAAAGTAATAGGGAGTTACCTCAAAGAACTCAAAGTAGAACTACCATATGATCCAGCTATCCCACTACTGGGCATCTATACAAAGGAAATAAAGACATTCTCTAATGAAGACATCTGCACTCGAATGTTTATAGCAGCACAATTCACAATTGCAAAGATGTGGAAACAACCCAAGTGCCCATCAATAAATAAGTGGATTAATAAAATGTGGTAAGACTACTCAGCCACAAGAGACAATGGTGAACTAACACCTCTAGTATTATTCTGGATGGAGCTGGAGCCCATTCTTCAAAGTGAAGTATCACAAGAATAGAAAAACAAGCACCACATGTACTCACCATCAAATTGGTACTAATTGATCAACACTTATGTGCACATGTGGAAGTAACATTCCTGAGTTGTTGGGCATGTTAGGGATGGAGGAGGGGATGGGTATATTCACACCTAAAGGCTGTGGTATGCACTTTTTGGGGGATGGGCACGCTTGTAGCTCTGACTCAGGAAGTGCAAAGGCAATATGTGTAAACTAAACGTTTGTACCCTGGTAATACTCTGAAATAAAAAAATAATAAAAGGGCTACATACTAGATGATTACAACTATATGACATTCTGGAAATGCAAAACTATGGAGACTAAAAGAATTAGTGTTTGCCAAGTGTTGGCTGGGGAGAGGGATGAACAGGTGAAATAGAGAATATTTTTAGGGCAGTGAAAATATTTTGTGTTATACTACAGTGGTGGATATATATCATTACAAATTTGTCCAAACTCAAAGCATATACAACACCAAGAGTGAACTTTTAATCTAAACTATGGACTTTGGGTAATAATCATGTCTCAATAAGTTCATCGATTGTAACAAATGGACCATATGGTGTGAGATGTTGATAGTGGAGCAGGTGGTGTATGTGGATGGGGAAGGAGATTTATGGGAAATCTCTGTACTTCCCAGTCAATTTTCCTTGAACCTAAAACTGCTCTAAAAAATAAAGTCTATTTTTAAAAAAATATAAATAATTCTGGGAAAAATAATTTAAGAGATGGCAACATTCACTCTAAAATGTAGAGCATGTAAGAAAATGTTAACCTTACCAATAATACAAAATCTTAAAGCTGAATTATAAAGCGATTATATGGATAACACCCTATTTATTTTTAAAAATACAATTATAATTAATGTTCCTTTATAAAATAAAAAACATTCTAGGCCAGCAGAAGAACTAATTAGTTGGAGTAATAGTTAATACAACAACAACAGCACAACTAAATCATGAGGACAGGACTTTGTTAGCATCTGACTGGGTCTATATTTACATATTATGTAACGACCCTGCATATTTCAACAATGAAAGAGTTGCATCAAACATATTAGTGTGCCAATTTCTGCATGGTAGGAATACTATAGGCTAAATATTAACAGAATTTTTTTCTGGGTTGGAAGAAGAAACTGTTAGGTGATGAAATCCTCAAAGTTGTTGGGTTGAAATAAATGGGTTGCTGCTAAGTTATTCACCTTTGGTGAAATATTTGAACAGTGGCTAATTATATTTCAAAACTACTTTTGAATACAGTAAAAAGCTGAATGCTTTTTTAGAATCCACACTAGATGCTAAGCAGACACAAGGATTAAATTGACTATTTTGGAGACAGTAAATAGTGAATAACAAACCTGTTATGGTGAAGATTGAACTTCTGGAAGTCTATTCATGCCCCTCTATTTGGGCTACTTCAGGAACAAAATGAAAGTCTTTAGGCATATAGCTCTTAAGAATGAGGCTAACTTACATAAAATCCCACATGTAAAAATCGTCAGACTTCCAGCAAAACAATGAATTATTGCTGCAAAACCAATCAGAAATAATCCTTCTCCCAGAGTTTCTGGACAAGTAAGAATGCCAAAGGACTCAGATACAAATGGCCTGGCACACACAACGATGGCAAGCTACAGCTTCATAATGTATTGAGAGAGCAAATCTGCTGCTGGACAGAAATAGATATTATACAACTTTAAAAAGTAAATAACTATATTATTTAAAAGTATTAATGTTTAAAAAATTAAATGTTCAAATGTTTCAAAGTTTATTGTGGTTAAAGAAGAGAAATGTATAGTCTGTGCAAGGCATAAAATTGTATTTGTGACAATAGAGTGAGTTCAACCTTTATTGCTAATAAACAGAGACATTATATTTTCAGCATGAGGAATAAAATTGCATTTGTGGTAATAAATGTCTCTTTTCCAGGTCTCAGAATAAACCAGAATAGTGTACTTGTCATTCTTTTCCTATTCTTTTCAAACCTATTTATTTGCTTTAAATCCTAAACTTAGGTGGCTGAGTTAAAATCTAATTTTTTTCTGAAATAAATATTTTAAAAAGTATACATTAAAATGTATTAAATTTTTTTTTTTTTTTTTTTTTGAGACAGAGTCTCGCTTTGTTGCCCAGGCTAGAGTGAGTGCCGTGGCGTCAGCCTAGCTCACAGCAACCTCAAACTCCTGGGCTCGAGTGATCCTTCTGCCTCAGCCTCCCGAGTAGCTGGGACTACAGGCATGCGCCACCATGCCCGGCTAATTTTTTATATATATATCAGTTGGCCAATTAATTTCTTTCTATTTATAGTAGAGACGGGGTCTCGCTCAGGCTGGTTTTGAACTCCTGACCTTGAGCAATCCGCCTGCCTCGGCCTCCCAAGAGCTAGGATTACAGGCGTGAGCCACAGCGCCCGGCCCTAAATGTTTTAAATGTACTAAATGTATTAATGTATTAAAAATATACATTAAACTTTTTCAAAGGAGAATTAAAAATTACTGTTACTTTAAAATTCAGTCAGCACCAAAGGCCAGATCCTCTCATAATCTCTTTTAAAACTTAAGGTAACAAAGAGTCTTATAAGGTCTCATAAGATATAAAATTATGATGATCACTAAGCAGAAAAAATTTTAAACATATTTAAGTTTATTGGAAATTATCATTTTTATGTGACAATCATATTGTTTTTAAAAAATGTGTCGCACCTACTATAATCTTTCAGATTAACTTATTTAAAAACTGTGTATAAACCATAATATTTATGATTCAAGAGAACTTTCTTTGAAAATGACCTGAAATATTACCATATTTTTTCATCTAATTAAAAAAAGGTTGAAGCTTATCTTTTATTTGTGCTTTGAATTTATTTACATAAAAATATTTTGTTCCATAATAGTATAGCATATGCAAGTGAAATCTTTGTGCCAGGAATATATTTTAAAACTGTAGTTTCCAATTTTGAAATATATGCTTTTGAAATACACAAGAACACCTATGTAGCTAGTCTAAGAGTAAAGACGATAACAGAAGCGCTAAAAACAATCCCTACATTTAAACAGATCACATGTCGAGTTATTGAAAATAGTTTCAGAGGACAAAATACATGCTACTAATTCATATAAAAACTCTTTTCTGATGGACAAAGATATACTATTTCCCTATGAAGAGAAAGAGACAGATTTTTTAATGTGGAAACATAGGAACATGCATCTGAATAAATCCTTATTTTGGAGTGATAAAAAATAAAAAACATACATACCCTGTTTTGATAGGCAGCACATTTCTAGTCTTTGTTCATGAGAATATCCATAGAGTAGGTATGCTTCTTGTAATGCACTTTTATACCACTTCTTTTTATTTTTACATTTTTCTGCCTATATAAATACAGAAAAAGAGTAAGATTCATTTTGAAATATATACTATTGTTTTAAAATCCACTTGACTTAACTATTGAGTTGGAATTTAATCTAATTTGGAGCATTGTAAAATATATTTCTTAGACTTTGGTATCTGATAATTATTTTTATTATTATTTTAGAATTTAGCAAAATTGTGGGAATTTTGCAAGTTAATAGCCAAAAGGGTCAGATGCTTGGTTCACTAAGATAATAGTCATAATACGATTCATCTTACACTTAGAAAGTTACAAAAAGTTAAGGTTCTCAATGTAAAAAGTAGTCAATATCAATACATTTTATGATAATGTTGATTCCCTTTTAGTGACAATAATACTACTAAAGTGGTAGAAATTCAAAAGCAAGTTTTGTATTGTAAGGAAATTAATTCCATCCTCATCTAGTTTTGGTGTGATGGCAGATATTAACATATTCATACAAGTTTCTTAAACTTTCTGTGCCCAGTGTCTTTATCTGAAAAATGTGAATAATAACAGTACATACATCATAAGTTTTCATGAGTATTAAACAAAATAATAGATGATAGTTTCTGACATAGTAAGAACTCAATAAGTTATTCTACGTGGATACAGTACATTTTTCTAAACGCTTAGTTTTCAAAAAATATAGTTTGTAAAGAAAAACAGAGTCAAAGAATCTCTGGTTCAAAAATGGCTATAAAAATTATCTAGTCCAATAATTTTTCCAATGTTATTTTAAAACTTTGACAAAAAAGATTTTTATAATGTTTTTAGTGTTCAAATACATACAACACATGCCATCGTTTTCTTTTTGAAAACTTCACGAGCAAAAAGAATACAGGCAATTATTCTACTAATGTATATCTGCCACCTTTATAATAAGATCATATCTTTATCTCAGATGCATAAGATAATTCACCCTTTACACAGAAATGTAAATCTATATAAGACCCATATTCAATTAATTCCGAGAATGAAATTATATATTTAAGGCTCTTTGCAAATGCCACAATATTCTTGAAATCCCCATATTAATAATGACTATATGACCCTACTACACTTAATAATTTCATTTAATAATTTACTACATTCTAGCTTGTGTTATAGTTATTTGTGTTCATGACTGCCACCACTGATAAAATCCAAAGACAGAGGAAATAAATAATATCTCATCTTTGTATCTTTCATAGTACCCTAACATATCATTGTAAATTATATAAACAAAGTGGTTGTTAAATTGCATTTGGTACTGGGCACTGATTAATTTGGCATAAAAGCAGTGAAATAACATAAACAAAAATCTACTTTTGTACACAGAATCTATAAATGTAATTAAGTTATTTCAAAGGAAGAAAAGATAAAAAGGCAAATACAATTCAATAAACATTGGAAATTTTAAATTATTTTTGGAATCTAAGTTAGCCTTTGCAGATGTAAGACATTTCTGCAATTCAAATACTATGACATTGAGAAATTATAGTGAAAAATCACTTAAAAGGTTATATAGTACTAAACAGTTACTATAGTAGCCCCTATAGGAATAGTTTAAGAAAATAGTTAAGAAAATTTCTTGGGAAAAACCAGTGTGATACAGCTAAAATAAACTTTGGTGAGTTAGGGGAACTGAAAAGCTTTGTTTAAAACTTGTGTCTGGGAGTCTCTAAAAACTTATCAGTAGGTATGTGCCACCTAGTGGCAATACAAATTAACATCTTCTAAGGAACTCAAAAAGCTAAAGCTCTGTTTTATAAAGAATTTTGGATTCCAGAAATCAGGCTCAACTGTTTATTGTATTTTTAAACTAGTTTCTTTTTTTTTTAATTGAAGAAGTGATAGGTGCAAATTCCAACAGTATAGAATGTGCCTTCCTTCTCTTCCAGGTACTGTTTGTCCCAAAGGCAACCATTATTACCAGTTTCTTTTACAGCCTTCCAGAGATATTGTATGCATTTATAAGCATTCATATATATTTATATAATGCTATGAATAGTTATATATACTTGAGTTTTAAAATTTATTGCATATTACTTAATTTATTAATTCCACATATCCTCAGGATACATCATTGTTCAAAACAGACAAAGCTTACATTTTAGCCTGTGAGAACAGACCATTTACAATAAGTATAACAAATAAGTTAAGGCTATAATATATTATAAGAGGTGATAAGTACTATGTAATAAATAAAAGGTAAGGCAAAGTACGGGTGATTATGAGTGCTGAGGGGTGGTCGGTAGAGTGGTCTGGGTAACAAATCATTGAAAAAGTAACATTTGAGCAACGAATGACCTTCTTGAAGGGGGTCAGGGAGTTAGTGATATAAACATTTAAGTAAAGAGAACTCCAGGCAGAGAAAAATCCTCTAATGTAGGCGAATACAGGTATATTAAAGAAACATCAAAGAATACAGGGTAGCTGTGTTTGAATGATGAAGAGAGAGAGAAATAGGAAATGATTTCACAAAATTAACAAGGGCCAGATCATTATGGAGGTCTTTGGCTGTTACTGTGAGTGAAATGGGAGCCATTGCGGAGTTCTCAGCAAAAGAATAACATTTGATGTGATTTAATGTTTTAAAACAATCATTGTGGTTGCTTTGATTAGGATAGGCCATGCAGAAGCAAGTGTAGAAGCAGGACGACTATTTAAGAAGCTATTGCAATAATCTGTGTAAGAAATGATAGTGGTAGTAGCAGCTACTGTGGGGAAAAAAGTATTAGGACTCTGGACCTAATTTGAGAGTAGAACAAAAAAAATTACTGACTAACTGAAAATTCGTTGTGAGAGAAAGAGAGGATGACTCTAGGACTTCCAAACTGAGTAGGGACAAGGATGGAATTTGCTATATAATGACATGGGGCAGGTTGTCAAGAAAGTGAGATTTGGAAGAAGATCAAGAATTCAGACATGTTGAGTATGAAATGTATCAACATCCAAGAGGAGAACAGTTAAGACATCCAAGTGGAGATGTCAAGTAACTGTTGGATAAGGAAATTTAGCAGAGAAAACTTGAACGCAGGTAAAATTTAGGAATTACACAGATGCACGTGTTCACACACACACACACACACACACACACACAAAAAAAGCACATAGCATTTAAATTTAAGTCAAGAAATTTGATAAGATAACCAAAGGAATGAGGAAATAGACGTATGTATGTTGACATAAGTGGTATATAAGTACCATTATTTATTTGACAAATGCTCTGGTGAGGACATTTAGCTTGTTTCTCATATTATGCTATTTGAAACAATGCTGCAATAAAAAAATTTGTCCATATGTTATTTTGCCCATGGGAGAGTTTACTGAAAGATAAATTTCTAGGCATTGAATTACCAGGTTTAACGTATGTATATTTTAAATTTTGGAAGCCATTATAAAATCACTCTTGAATGAGGAGATCACAGTTTACAATGCCACAAACAATATATTTCCCTACACCCCGCAGAACACTTATGTTCCTAACTTTTAGATCTTTATCAAACTTTTTAAGGGAAGAATGGTATTTTCTTCTTATTATCTTTTTCATTTCTTAAATTGAGCAGTTACAAGTAATTTTTCATATTTTTAAAAGCCATTTATATTTTCTTTTTATGGAATGACTGTTCAAGTCCTGTGTTCATATTAATTTGTAAAAGATTTTCATATATTAACGAAAATAGCCCTTTGCTATATTGTCACAAGTATCTTTCTGTTTATAATTTATCTTTAGCACATTTGTATTTTCTTTTTTATTTATGTAAATCTTTCATCTATCTAGAACTAGTCTGAATGCGAGTGTGAGATATAACTCCAACTTTATTTTTTTCCTAAGTAGCTATTGGTACCCATACCATTTATTAAACAATACAACCTTAACCATTAACTATATGTCAAGTACTTTTGAATTTAGTTGTGGTCTCTCTCTATTAATCTGTCAAATCATTATTAGTACCAAGCTGTTTGAACTATTGAAGCTTTATTATTTCTCTTTTTTAGGGGCTTACTTTTTTTTTTCTTTACTTTTTTTTCCAATTTTTGGATTTGTTTTTTTTGTTTAAATTTCTTTTTTTTTTAAAATTGAGCTTGAATTAAAATTAATTTAGGGAGAACTGATATCTTCCATATTAAATCTTCCAAGCCTAAAAGAGGATTATATCTTTCAATTTACTCAGATTTTATTTTCAGTTTCTTAGTAGCATTTTAAAGTTTTATTCATACAGATCTTGCAATTGCTTCTTAGGCTTACACCAGTGTATTATAGCTTTGTTACTATTATAAATGAGAATTTTAATCCCTTCATATTTTCAAACTGGTTTATTCTGTATAGTAATTTTATAACCTGACACATAAGCGAATTCTCTCCTTGTTTTTAATGGTTTTTCTATTGTTTAGAATAGTTTTATTTTTAGTAGTTTTTCCATTTGAGTTCCAGGGGTTTTCCAGGTATGCGATCATGTACTAATAATAAAATTTTTTTTCAGCCTTTTTTTAATGTGCACTTTGGCTTCTTACTTTGGCTAATTATTTTAGCCAATTAGACCAGGCCAGGACAATATTTAAAAATATGCAATTCTACATGTTTTAAAAATCAAAATTTCCTACCTGAACAACTTGATTATTTTCTAATTAAAATAAAATAGTCCAAGGAGTTCATGTACTTTTGAAGATATATTGAAATGATTCACATTTATTTAATTGAATTATTTTGCAGAAGCTACCAAAAAAAGAATGTTTGTAATCATCTTCATAAACTTGGCTTTCTGAGACATTATCATAGCTTTCAATAGGAATCTTCTAAGGAAAGGCTTGTGAGTTGACAAGAAAGAGGCAAAGACTCAGTATCTCACTAAACGTAATAAATTCATTCCATATACTAATTACTAGGATAAAGTTTGTGAAGGATTAAGGAACATTATGCTTGAATGAATTACAGTAATAACATTTGTGATTAAGTTCAATTTAAAAATACTATAGTATTTAATGAGATGAATGTTCAACTTGAAAGTTTGCATT